CCTTGATCCGGAGGAGAAGGGAGGAGCTGGTGGCGGGGAGCTGAGGGTTTGAGGCTTGCTTGTTCAGGCACGCAACAAGACATGCTCTCCTGCCCCACGCCCGCTAGGGTGTGCAGCACCTCCCCCCCTCCCCGCTGCCAGGGTGGCCGTGACTGTCAGCTAAAACCCTCCCCCAGACACCCAACTGTGGCACACGGATCAGCTGACTTGCCCTCAGGAGGAAGTGACCAAGGCTTTAAAAAAAAAACATAAAAGCTGACAGAAAAGCCCCTCTCGGTGGGCCAGTTTTCCAGGGCTGCCGGGTCCTGTCTTACCAAGGCCATACGCAAGGGGCTGTGTTAAGACAGGAGTCTCAGGGGCGCCTGGGTGGCTCAGTGGGTTGAGCCTCTGCCTTCAGCTCAAGTCATGATCCCAGGGTCTTGGAATCAAGCCCCGCATCAGGCTCTCTGCTCAGCGGGGAGCCTGCTTCCTCCCCTCTCTCTGCCTGCTTGTGATCTCTCTGTCAAATAAATAAATAAAATATTTTAAAAAAGAGAGAGAGGAGTCTGGGACACCCCTCAGAGTGAGCTATAGGGAGGGTGGCTGGAAGAGAGTGGTTCCAGCCCAGACAACAAGCAGAGGCCTTCTGGGAAGGCAAACACGGCTTCCCTTCCTACAGGGCCTGGCTTGGGCTGGTCTACCTTCAAGGGACTGACTCCCCACCCCAGTGGGGATTTGCTTGTATGGGGACAGGGCAGAATTTATCCTGGAGAGTCATACAGATTTTAAGAAGACATAATGGATCTACAGATTCCATGCAATTCCAATCAAAATCCTAGCAAGCTTTTTAAAAAATAGATATTAACGAGCCAATTTTAAAGTTTATAAGGAAAGGCAAAGGAACCGGAAGAGCCTAAGATTCTGAGAAGTGTCCTTAGGCAAACAGGCGAGAGCCCAGGCAGAGAGGAAGCGGGGTGATTCTCTAGTCTAGCAGGCAAGGAGTGAGGTCCCAGGGGTGCCTGCCTCCGATCCTGCTGGGTGCTTCCGTTTCCTTGGCCTCCTGCCCCGGCCCCACACGGCACCTGCCAAATGATGGCACACAACAGCTTCGCTGAAGCTCAGCTGTATCAGGGGGTGGGGGGAGTGTGTCCCCATGAAGGACCTGAACCATTCATTTCTCAGCCTTACTTCTTCTCTCATCCACCCCCCCTTGCTGTCTCCCCAACCACTGCCGCATTTGCCAAGTGACCACAGCCTGTGTGAGAGTTCCGCCTTCTCCACGTGTCTGGAGTCCCTCAGCTCTCTCAGGAAAGCCTCAAAGTGACTTCTTTCTGCCCAGAGCCCAGCATGAGCCAGACAGAAAGTGATGGTATTTGTCGCGCTCATCAGAGAAGCGAGCGTTACTGTGCTCCCCCTCTTTCTGCCGGAGATACTCGGGTGAGGCTCACTGAGGCAACGGGACTGGCCAGGGCCAGAAGGCTAGTACCTGGCGGGCCTGGCCTCCCACCCGGAGCTGCTCCCAAGCCCTGAGCTCCCTCCATCTGCCTGGTTTCTACAGTTTTGGGGCCCTGCTGCTGCACAAAGAACAGTCTCAATTTTTCTTACTTTGCTCAGTCCCGTCTGTAACCAGAAGCACATGATGAACGTCTGGGAAGTCCATCTGGGAAGTTCATCACCAGCCAGAGACACGGGCGGCCCCACCCATAAGCCTGTGCAGCACCTACGGGGCCACCATGTTAACCCTCCCTCCCTGCTCCAGGGACCTGTACGAAGCCTGTGCTGGGCTTTCCAAGCCATAGGTCAGAGGGTGTCTGTCCTGCCTCCCCAACAAGAGGTTACCCCACTCACCCCTCCACCCTGCTGGTTCATGCCTCTGAGCCTTCTCTGCCCAAGTCCTACCCACTAAGATTCCAGACCCAATGCAAGAGGAATGTTCTCCGTAAGGCCTTGTCCTGCTGCCCCTGGCTGAAGGCAGCCCAGAGTGAGCCCTGCGTTCCTCTCAGGACACTTAAGAAGGGCTGGTGCCCACAGAGGTGCCCATCTGGCACCTGGGCTCAGCGAGGGCCGACCTGGACCGAAGCAGACCGTTCTTACCTCCCAGGAGCCAAGGAAGCAAAGATGCTCACTGCTAACCGGCTTCTGAGATCATCCCTGCCCCCGCCCCCATCTTCGGTGCAGCTGGAAGGTGGCCCCTTCTCCCCACTGGCAGAGAGGGCCATGGCAGGGGCTGTGGCCTAGAGGCTCTGTAGAGCACGCTCCCAAGCCATAAGCATCCTGCTGGGAGTCCCTTTCCAGATTTGGGGTACCGATGAGGAGAAAGGTCCTCTCTTGCCTAGGACAGACCCAGATTCTACGGTCTCAGGCTTTTCCTGGAAAGCCCACGGCCACACCTCAGACCCTGCAGTCTGGGCTTAAACCCACAGGGGTCTGGCCACTTGGTACAGGGACTAAAGCTCTGCCCTGCCCTGCCCTCCGGAATAACCTGGGTGGCCCCTTTGCTCTAAGCCTGTTCAAGTCAGGAGAGTCCCCTTTTCCTGTGGGGGTTACAAATTCAGGCACAGCTCCACGCCTGCCTCAGGCGGAGCTTCCTGACAAGCAAGGCAGTGACTGAGCAGCAGAGGGACCAACACAGAAGCCATGCTCCTGACTCCCAGGCCAGACCTGTCCCCCACACACCCTGCCTTATAGAAGGCAGCGTCAGAAAAGTGGGAGAACAGGATGGAAGTAGAACTCAATTGAGTGTCCCACAGGTTTGGTCTCTGGGCAGCTCTGAGCGGGTCTTCCTGCCTCCCCTACCGGCCCCCACCTGTCCAGCCCCCGCAGGCTCAAGAAGGGACTTCAGAGGGGGTCTCTCAGGCTTTGCCACAAATGACTCACTAAGGCCTAGAAGGTGAACTAGGGCTCTCTTACCCAGAGCTCCGGCACAGGAACCTGGGGCCCTGTGGCCCTTTCTTTTCACACTGTTTTTGTGATGAAATCTCTCAGGCACACAGAAATAGAGAATAACACCACACTTGTGCTCTCTTCCTCAACAAAAGCAACACTGCCGTTTTTTGAGACAGGTTTGTTCCTGGCCCCCCCTCGCCCTGCCTTTTTGTTAAAGGAATGGTATATCGTGGCTGGTGAAAGCCTTTCCCTAATCCAGTTTCCTCCTGGCTTCCCAGCAGCCAACCTGAGGGTGGGAGCGGGTGCACGACACGAGCATGGCCCCATTTCCATGGCTTCCATTCCACTGCCCTCTTCCCAGTTTGTCCCCCTCCAGAGAACATGTGCCCCATGAGGGCAGGGGTGGTGTTTTGTCCACAGCCGCCTCCCAGGCCAAATCAGAAAAGCAATCAAGTCAGGACTTGCAGAACAAGTAACACCTCTATCATCGTGTGGGTTTCTGAATTTCATATGAATGTTCCTGCCCTGTCTGTTCTCAATTCTGAAGCCTGCTCTTCCCTCCGTCGACACCACGTTCGAGATTCCATCACACGACTCAACAATCAACTGTTCTACCGTATGACCCTGCTCACCACTGACCCTTCTCTTTCTCATCCAGGAGGAGGTGGATGAGAGCACCAACGTCCCAGCAAAGCGAAGACAGCCCAGAAATCAGGACTCTAGGCTCTAGCCAGCGATCGACTGAGAACCTAAGTTAAGAACAAACCAGCAGAAAACCACAGGTTCCCCCAGCAGGTCCCAGAGAACAGGGGAAACCGTGCAGGTATGCACCCCCAAACCACACATGTGAGGTCACCTGGCAAAAGAGCAAGGACGGAGCCATCATCTTGGGTACCAGTGAGGGGCCCCTGAGGTGCTGGTGGAGGGGCCAGACCCAACAGGGAAGCACAGAGCCCAGCACCTAAGGTGGCGGGGTCCCAGCACCACCCACCTCTCAGCACAGAGCCATTGCCAACTCTGATGAACAACCGAGGGGGCAAGGACCCTCTGGGGCTGCCTGTGAGGGCAGTATGAACCCCCTCTGTAAACTTGCAAGTCACAAAGGTGCACACACACGCACACACACACATACCCTGGGGGATGAAGACACCCGTCTGGTTTGAGATCAGCTCCAGATGAGGGGCCCGCCCCCGGGGGAGGTTCCCCTCACACTGGTAAGGTCAACATAAGGCCGTGGCATCAGGAAGTTCTGCTCCCTCCTCCGGGGAGGGTCCCCCCCTCTGGCTATCCCCCCTCAAAGCACAGCCTTCCCCGGGGAAGTTTTCTTCAGACATCAATATCCACTACCCGACGCAAGCAGATGCCTTCAAGCCCTGGGCCTTGAGGAAACTGCTCAGGACAGAGGACATCAAGGTGACCTGCCCATTCAGAGACCAAGTCTGATCCCAAGCACAGCTCCCCCGCTGGCCTTGTGGCCCGAGTTCAAGGCTGGGCGTGGGAGGGAGGGCCCGAGAGCCCGGAACTCTGGCATGGAAGTGCTGGGCGGGCAGGAAGGCTCTCCCCAGCTCATGAAGACCAACCAGCTCCTGCCCGCCCCACACTGCGGATTTGCCGATGTTTCACAGGTACTTTTGAGGCAAAGCAGCCCCCGAGCTGAGCTCCACAGGAAAACTGACCCGTGGCAGGTGGAGGGGAGAGGAAGGCATGGACAAGGAACCCAGGCTGGGAGAACAGCACACACAGAGGGCACCTTCAGGAGACTCCGAAGGGCCAGAGGGGTTACAGGGAACCGGAAGGGGCTGGATGAGGCCGGGTAGCCCCGGCAAAGCGAACACGCCAGGCACGGTTTGGACCTGATTCTGCAGGTGCTGGGGAACACGCCAGGCCTGTGGTCTGGAGAGGAGAGAGAAACCTTAACGAGGGTTGGGAAGAATCAGCGGGTGGCCACGTAAAAGCCGGCTGGCCAGTGGGGGAAAGGGAGCAAAGCCTCCGTCTGGGGGGAAGGGCGAACTTTTCAGACCTGCACAAGGCAGCCAAGGGGCGGTGGGGAGCGGAGGGGCGCGGGGGCACAGGGCACAGTGGTAGAGACTGTCAGCAACAAGGTGGGATGACATGGAGCTGCACATGGGCCTCACCTGTGCTTCTCGCCTTCCTCCTCCCCTTCTCTGAGCTGCTTGGTTTTGGGCTCCCCGTCTTCCTTGTCCTGCAAAGGAAGGGAGAAAACCACTTGCTCAGATGGGCGCTTTTCCCCAGTCCTTGATGCCCAGGGAGCTGGGGAAGAACGGACTGGTACAGGGACTGAGCTCTGCCCTGCGCTCCCGAGAGGCTCAGCAGCCTCTCACCCTGGCAAGGAGCAGCTTGGTGTCGCAGCCCCCGACAGCCCCCGAGTGGCACACAGCACCAGAGCCTCACTGCCCAGCCTTCAACTCCTCCCCTGCCCCCCCACCCACCGTCCACAAAACTTAGCAACCAGTGACCCCAGCCCGGACCGGGCACATGGTGTCCCCCAGAGAACACATGCAGGAGGAGCTAGGTTTGAGTAGTGAGAAATGCAGGTGGTTGGCGACCCCCGGGGTGGGTCTGGATAGAGCTGCCCGCTGAACTGAGAAAGGCAGTCGAGCTGGGAAGGGCAGTCACCAGTGACCAGGGTGGGGCAAGAGCTTGGGCCTCCAGGGCTCCCTTCCAGGCCAGCAGACTGGTGTTCCTCCAGGAACAACTATTTCCTTACCTTAAGGGGAAACTAACTCCCAACTACAACCAGGCTTAGAATAAGACTCCTGCCGTGTATTCAGGGGATGGAGGGAAGGAGAACTAGTTTCAAGTTTTTATGGGAAAAATGTCTTATTTTTTTGTTGTTGTTTTGGCTTTTTTTTTTTTTTTTTTTTGGCCTTCCTTTTGCCCCCCCCCCCCCCCCGTCTCTTGGTAAGTCTCAAACCTGACACAGCATACTCATTCTCTAGGGGACACCAGGGGCCACAACAGAGGACAGCACCATGCAGCTTCCAGCTACAGAATCAAGTGTCTCCCTGGGCTTTCTCCCTAACTCCGTAAGATCAGACTGCCCTGGGCACAGACAGACATGCAGGGTGTGCGCCCAGGTCTGTGCTCAAATGCATGACCGTATTCTCAGTGCACATGCTGGGGCACTCCAGGGTCCCCGTGCCTGCCAGGACTGGCCCTCCAGTTGGGGGGGGGTGTCACCGTGCACTTCATTACTGGCAGCAGCGTGCCTTTGACCATCCCTCTGGAACAGCGTTCTGAGACATCAGTAAGGCACTGCCATAAGGAGGCCACTTTGATGTAAGCAAGAGCTAGAGGGGTGCCTGGCAGGCTTGGCTGGAGGGACACACAACTCCTGATTTTGGGGTATAGACTTCATGTTGGGTGCAGAGGTTACCAAAAAAAGGGGGGGGGGAGGAACTAAAAAAAAAATTGCCATTTGCAAAATGGAACTAGATGGAACTAGAGAGTATAATGCTAAGAAAAATAAGCCCAATAGAAAAAGACAAATACCATGATTTCACTCCTATGTGGAATTTAAGAAACAAAACAGATGAACATAGTGGACAGGAAAGAAGAAATAAAATAAGATAAAATCAGAGAGGGAGACACACCATAAGAAACTTTAAAAAAAGAAGAATATATATTTTTAAAGATTTTATTTATTTTTTATTTGACAGGCAGAGATCACAAGTAGGCAGAGAGGCAGGCAGAGAGAGAGGAGGAAGCAGGCTCCCCACTGAGGAGAGAGCCCAACGTGGGGCTCGATCCCAGGACCCCGGGATCATGACCCGAGCCGAAGGCAGAGGCCTCAACCCACTGAGCCACCCAGGCGCCCTCCCCCCCCAAAAACAATATTTGACAGAGAGAGAGCACAAGCAAGGGGAGCAACTGGCAGAGGGACAGGGAGAAGCAGGTTCCCCAAAGGAGGAGGGAGCCTAATGTGGGGCTCGATCCCAGGACCGCAGGATCATGACCTGAGCCAAAGGCAGTTGCTTAACCAACTGAGCCACCCAGATGCCCCAACATGAGAGACTCTTAGCTCTAGGAAACGAACTGAAGGCTGCTAGAGGGGAGGTGGGTGGGGGACGGGGTAACTGGGTGAGGGGCATTAAGGATGGCATGGGATGTAATGTGCACTGGGTGTTTTAGGCAACTGACGAATCACTAAATTCTACCCCTGCAACTAATAATACAATATATGTTACCTAAATGGAATTTAAATAAAAATTTAGAAAAGAGCTAGAACAGACATATAAATTTTAAGTGAAACATCTACGTGTGCTGTGCTAACTCTCCTTGAACTTTGCTCGTGCCACTGACAGCAGCCTCCCTGAGAGCGGCATCTGCTCCATGAATCCCTCCCCAACAGTGATCGCCACGGAGACCTGAGAACAACAAGACCCCACCATTCCTAGGCCTCACGCTTACAGGGAAGGAGAGCCCGGAAACCAGCCTGGAGGCTTTTGGCCCAGAGAAACGCTTTTATGATGTGCATGGATCAAGATAAGCCCTTGCTCTTTCAGCCCCGAGCAGCCTAGTCTCAGAGATGAAGAAGCCGAAAGAGTGACCGCAGCCACATGAGAGGTCGATGTGGTTCTGCAGGGTGGGGTGGGAGGGATGGGCAGAATGTGGGGGTGACTGGAGTAGGACAGGCTTCCTGGATGGGGGCGCAGCTGGAGCATAGGAGGGTGTGCTGTGCAGAACATCCAGGTGGCTGGAGAAGCAGGCCTTGGTGAAGGTAAATGCTGGCCAGGCTGGCGAGGCAGGTGGGGCCGGTCACAGAGGGCTCTGGCCAGTGTCCTAAGTAAGGCAGTAGGAGCCAGAGGAAAGGCTGGGGGAGCTGTTGGCAGAAGGACCTTTCCTAAGAGCCTGGCCACCACGCTGGACAAGCAAGCCCTGGGCAGAGAGGCTCTCAGATAGCGATGGCCGAAGAGGGAAGGGAGGACAGAGTACAGATTTTTTTAAAGATTTTATTGATTTATTTGACAGAGAGAAAGAGAGTACACAAAGTAGGCAGAGAGGCAGGCAGAGAGAAAGAGGAAGAAAGCAGGCTTCCCACTGAGCAGGGAGCCTGATGTGGGGCTCAATCCCAGGACCCTGGCATCATGACCTGACTACAAAGCAGACACTTAACCGACTGAGCCACCCAGGTGCCCACAAAGTACAAATTCTTAAATGAGAAACAAGCTAGGGTTCTCTGTGTGGCCTCCAGGGTTGTGGGGGCCTGGGCAGGACCTTCCAATGGGTGCACGCACCCCTCTCCATGATGAAATGCCAGCAGATTAAGCAAGCCGTAAGCCTGGACAGTCAAAAAAAAAAAAAATGTTCCTTTCTAACTGCCCATGAGCAGACTCCCCAACGGCCTCCTCCCCCTGGTGAGTAAGGACAGAGATGGAAGGGCAGAGAAAAAAGGCTCAGCTTTCCCCCCGTGCGGGCTGGTAGGCAACCCCACGGGAAGGCATCTTTCCATGGGGCTCGGTTAACCTGGACCAGCTGGCAGAGGAGGGTGGGGACGACGGCATCGGCCTCTGGGAACCAGTCCTCGGCAAACACTGTGCCCCTTCTCCGCAGCCACCGTAGCCACCACAGTCCTGGAGTCCCAGAGATACTCAAGTGCCGTGGCGCAGGCTGGTTATTCATTAATGAATGAGAAAACATGCACCCATCTCTGTGACATTTTTAAAAAATGCCCAGCTGTCCAGTGGGTGGGCTGCACCATTAAGTGCCCGCAGCGTGAGGTTAAGGACGGCCCCGGCCTGGGCTGCTGGAGGAAGAACAGAGACGCGTGTGGGGCAGGAGCAGGGTAACCTGCAAAAGGCCGCAGAAATGCGAGCCCGAGGCGCGCTCCCGTCTTCACACTCCCCAGCAACTCGGGACAGCGAGCGTTCGTGAGCAGGGAAACAGCTTCTGGGTGATCCTGGCCTCGGTCCCCAGGCAGGGCATTCACTACCTGGGATAGAGGCAGGAGGTAGAGACGACCCTCACGGCCCACCCCAGCCTAAGAGACTCAAAGGGCCCCCAGGGCTGTCTCCCAAGTCTTCAGTTCAATGCACGGGGAGCCTGGCGCATGGCCATCAGGGAAAGGGAAAAGATTCGCCTGAGGACACAGAGCCTGTCCCTGGCGGCTAAGGTCTGGATCAAAGTCTTTCCGACCCTGGCCCTGCGTTCTCACCACGGAGACAAATGAGAGATAGTGGAAGAGCGGCACTCAGTTTCTAAAAATATCTCTGACCCCAGCCACCTCTCCCCTACTCCCCCGCCGTTCAGGTTCAGCCCTGGTTCAGCCCTGATTCTGACCGGCTACAGCCAGCCCAAGTCCAGGTTCAGGCTGTGGGGCGCACCCTCCGAGGGCAGGCGGGGCCTGAGGGGCACAGCATCCCCCCGAAATCTGGAGACACCCCATCTACCCCAAGACAATTAAATCTGACTCACTGCTTAACCCCTCCCCACACACACCCTTCCCCAAATCTCCCACCTTTCTCCCTCTTTCCCAGTCTCTGTTCTCTGGTTCTTGCCACAGGCACCTGTGCAACCCAGCCCACAGCTCTCTCTCCCCTGCCTCCCAACCATGCCAGCCTGCCAGTCTGCTGCCCCACTACGCCAGAGAACACAGCTTCCTGGGGCACTTCCCTGCTTTTCCCCTTCCACATCCCCGAAGTCTGTCTCCACTTTCCCATTTGTCCCAGATGCGGGTCGTATCACACCACTCCTCTGCTCCAAGTTCTTGCTGGCTCCCCAGGCTCTCAGGACAACAGCCATTCTCCTCCAGGAGCAGCCTCATAAGGCCCCAACACTCGCCCTACAGCCCACTCACACTCGCCCCTGTCCAGAACACCCAGCCCTTACAGCCACTGTCTCTCAAATCCTGACATGCCCACTCTCATAACCCCTAAGAGAACCCACCCTCTGACCAATTCTGGAGGTCAGCTCAAAAGCCACCTCCTCCAGGCAGCCTCCTGAGGTTCCCCGACAATATGCGAGTCACTCCTCTGGGCCCAGGCATGTAGTCATTCCTGTTCCTATCCAGGCCTCCCTCAAGTCCTTCATATCTTCCTCAGGTATGGGGGCATCTCCTGGAGCTCCTCCTGGCCTGGATTAGACAACCGTCATCAACCGTCTGCTAATTTAACTACTCTTTCCACTAACTCCAGAAGAGCCAAACTCTTGGAAACAGTGGTGGCGGAGGTCAGGAAAGCCACA